AGGAGGTAGGGGATTTACAGATCAAGTTCATCGTGACTCAAACATAAAAGTATGTGCTATGGATAGTGTAGGACAGGGTTCCCCAGTTCTGGTCCTGAAGGGCCCGAGTCCAACGCAGCTTGCAGATTTCCATTCTCAGGCACACCTTAATCAGTTAGATACCAGGTTTAGTAGGTGTGTTTGAACAGGGAAATCTGCTAATTGTTTTGGATTCTGGCCCACCAGGACCAGAATTGGGGAAACCTGGTGTCGGAACACAGTTAATCTATCCCACAAGTCTTGGGCTGTGGGCTGAACTGCACAAACACAGAACCAGAGAACACAGTACTACCCAATGTGTCACTAATGCTGACCAGTAATGCGAGGTCATTTATGTTTCATCCAAACACATTAGGTTACTGAACTTAGTAATTAAGGATTAAAATCAGCAATTTGAAGAGAATAAGAGCTGCTGAAAATGAGGGTAAACACAGTCAGATGCCCTCACATTAACCTACCTTGCCATTCAGGATGGTGGCACCTGCAACATTTCTCTGTTCCTGCATGGGTTGGATAAGCGTCCATTTGTTTGTTTCTAGGTCGTAGCGCTCGGCTGTGTTAAGGCACAAAAAGTCATCACGGCCCATGGCGTAGATGTAGCCATCGACCACAGCCACACTAGCATAACAGCGGCACGAGTGCATCAGGGCCACCTGCTGCCACGCTCGTGTGATGGGGTCGAACCTGTGTACGGTATTGACGGCGTGTGTGCCGTCATAACCCCCGATGCAGTACATATATCCGTTTAGATAAACGGTGCCATGGCAGGAGTTCGGCTCGTCATCCTCCTGCGTGACATCCACCCAGCGGTCAGCTCGGGTGTCGTATGCATTGATCCGGTTCATTGTGTGTTGACTCCAGCCACCAACTGCCAGCAACTTCGCAGATGGAAGGCGTGGGCGAATCAGAGGATTTTCAAAGTCAGAACATGCAGTTCCATCATCGAGGTCATACATGGTCTTCAGTACGTCCTCAATGATGGGCCTGCATGCCACATTTGCCTTGACTAAATTATTTTTCTTTATGGTCTTCATAAAGAATTCGGGATCCATGCAAGCCATCCGAACCTACACAGGAAACAAGAGCAAGAGAATGATCATGAGTTCTTTGATGCTTTTTATATATCGCTGGAAAAGAGAAACTCTTACCATAAAAGATCAAACAGCATGTCCAGATTTTAATTTCTCATTTCCATAATGCTTCAGCTGAAGCCAGTTATTTGGAAAATCTCAGATATTGATCAGATATTGATATGATCCAGCGGAGGATAGCCTCAAAGACCACATCCTCCTCTCTGACGTTGAGCTCTTGCTTTTCAATTATATCAGAGAGCTCGTGTAAGGTGAGATCCAGGATCTCTTCTGAGGTGCTAGCGACCTCCTTGAAGTTCTTCAGAATCAAGTCAAAGGCAGTCTGGTGCAGCTCATTGAAGCAATATAAGTCATAGATTTTGAGAAGGTCAATGCAGTTCTCGATGCAGAGCTGGTCATGCAGAAAGTCGCCGACGAGCTACAAAATGCCCAGGATGTTAAACTGATCGGCGGCTGCCAGAAGGCTCTCCACGTTGTTAATTGTGATGTGCACAGAGTACGTGTAGGCGTACTCGATGATCTGCCTCAACGTGTCTGGGGAAACGCCTGGGAATTTGTACTCGCGTTTTCCCAAAACATTCCAGCTACTGTTGAACAGAGCCCTGAAAAACAATCCAGATGTGACTCATTTAATACATTTAGGTTTTGCAGATAAGGTTACATAAGGGGTTTTTTTTTGCCTCCGATTGACGTGCTCCAAATTATTATTATAATATGTCAAAAGTTAAGGTGGTATACACTTAATAACTGCTGCTCGGTATTTATACTTTTCTTATTAACCCTGTACTGCATTAATATAACACAATAATGCATTCTGTTATCATATTATAGACTTATTGCCAGGTAGAAGTCACTGCTAAAGAGAGGAAACTCTGGCTTCTTGTTGTTTTGGCATCATTATAGTATGTATGGGTCACAGCTACTTACTGGAAATAGGAGCTA